AAGCAGCCAAGTAGGGAAGGCAAGCACTGACTATAACAAACATTTTGAAATTATTGTAGGAAATGGTCTATTCCAAATGTCAGTGCCATACGTCAAGTGGCGCTGTCGACACGGACCGTGGCTTTAGTCAACCACGCTCCTGGACGTCTTGACCTGATGCGAGAACCAAATGCACAAAAGATCACGCAGTAAAATACGTCACGTTCTCGCCAAGCATATCCATTCGAGTAGTATGGATGCAAACCAAGTGTATGAAACACATGAGGCAGCAGCGTTAAAAAAGAATAAATGATAGCATTAATTCACTCGTGAAATATCTCCAAGTTGAGTAGAGGTAAGGTACTCTACAGCCTCTCCTGTTATCATGACTGTCAAAATAAACGGTTTGGTCTTCAACATCTTGATAATTACAGCCAAAAACTACCCTTCCCATTTAAACTACCCACCTGAGTTTACGATTCCATGACGCTAAAGAGGGTTGCAGATTTTGTGATGCAATATATCGGGCACAATGAACTCAACTGTCCTGGAGAATACAAGATAACCTACATGCGATTTAATTCAGTGCCTGTTTAAACATCCATCTCGCAGATGACAAAACTATCGTTGCGAGGCACCTGGATTTTATCCCAGCCCTAAAGCTTGGTTTTCATTAAAAGATACTGGGGAGTTTCGAGTATGCAAATCAACTGGAGGACATGTAAAGTTGGTGCAAGTATGATAGGATGCAGCATTCGCTTTGTAGAAGGTTGATGGGGAATCACTCACCTGTGAAAGCCTTGATGCCCCAAGGCACGACTGAGGGATGGCACATAGCAGAGAAGGCAGACACAGAGACAAAACGATCGGCGTTTCGCAGACCCACCATCAGCGCTCCATGTCCGCCCATACTATAAAATACGGAAGTACAAAAGAGACCAAGACAGCTTTGCCTAAATTATCAGAAGACTAGGATGAACAGACAAGAAATAAGGCTTGAATTCAAGAGAAGAACGAAAAGAAGGAAGGACCTCACCTATGCCCAAAAAGACCATATTTACCAGGGACTATATTGAAGTTCTTCTCGATTAGTTCTGGAAGCTGAAAAGAAATCGAGTTATTCCGGTCCTCAAGGGACGAAATAGTCAAACACGGTTACAGTTGTCGATGTATTGTCACCTACGAGTCACCTCTGCAGCAACTACAACGACCAATAATCCGACCCATTTTCCAGAGAAGGATCACACAAAATATCGAGACTCACTTCAACTGCGACGTAGTCATACATTTTGTAATGCTTACACCACGGATCTTGGGTGGCATTTACATAGAAACCAGCACCACTGCCGAAGTCGAAGTCATCATCTTCCTCTGGAATGTTGCATCCACCTACGAAAAGAAAAGCCGATAAGCTCTACAGTGGAGAAAAGCTGCCCAAATTGTAATTGTCAAAAATTCATTTTTTAATATCGTTGGTGCAACTATCTTAGCAATTTGTTCCACGCAGTTCAAATCTTCAAAAAATCGACTTTGAAAATACAAAATCTTTCAACATTGTGATATTGAAGTCTGGTACTAAAATAGATCCCAATCTCGATATTTGCATAACTACTTTCTGAATCTGCTCAAAACTCAAAGCTTGGTAGTTCGAAATCAGTATACGCACATAAAGTTGAGATTAAACGCAGACTTTGTTAGTACCCTTCACAACCATTTGCTTTATGATAATTATGAAACAAATCAACATCATGACATTACTGTACGATGAGCAATCATCTCTCAAGCAACTTAACCGCACTGGATCATCAAAGTGATTCCCACAAAAGAACAAGCTGTCAACTTGAAATTGGAAAACAGGCGACAACAAACATGAGAAAACCTTAATCAGGTTAGTGATGAACTTACGAGGACTAGTATCAGGATTTACCAATATAAGACCAAGCTGAGAAGCGTATCGTTGGGCGCCGGACTTGATGATGAAATTCTGTTCAGTACAGGTCAGACCTTCAAGGCAAGCATATTATAAGTAATCGCATCAGGTTGTACCTTGCAGGAAGAAGACTACAGGACAAGACTGCCCAAGACTGTAGCACGGAGGAAAGTACACAGCAAGCTTCATTGGACACTTCACAGTGTAACTAATTAAGATCAATATAACGGACAAAGCTGGACATCAGACTACCTGTCGTGCTTGAAGACCTTTTGTATACCTCCAAAGCATTTACTGGACGAGATCTCCTCTAGAGCCATACCGCTAAGATAAAATGAAACAAAGCATAAACGGAGCACTAGGCCAAATATCTTGACATTGTGTGCGATGATCGACGATAAAAGCGCTCAGACAAAGCTAGGTGACAACGTTGATTGTGAATGTGCAGCATCACATACACAAGGGAGGCATCAAATAGGTCAATTAAATACAAAATTACTTCAAGCCATTGTAGTAAAAAACCAAGCGAGAAAGCTGTGAGTTGTTAGAAATCAAAGTTTTAAACGATTTCCACGACCGATTGCACTTAATTACGACTTATACGAGAAGAATCAGAAATGATAGTACCAGAATGAAAAATCTTTATTGATAAAGAAAAGTGTTCAAAAAAAACAAAGTTATTTGTTAAGAATACTTATAATTTCATCTGCAATTGATTTAACGGGGTCGACATGAGATTCTTCGACATCCAAATCGCCCTCGATATGTTCTGCTTGGTTCTGCAGCTCAGGAACGTAGTTGGCGATTTCCAAGGTCTTTGCTAGATCAGCTATCGATGAAAAGGTTCCTATGAGTGCATAAACAGCCTTCAAAACATAAAGAGCTTCGTAAGGATACTTGAAGCTTTTTTTTACGGTCAACAAATAAAATAAAGAAGCAGCAACATCTATCGCCTCGGACTCCTTGATCAATGAGCACATAGCGAAATTCACCGCCAGTGCAAGACCAGCCATTTCATGTTCCGGTGATTTTGCCAAATGTTTATCAACAGATTCTGTTTCATCATCTTGACAGCGGATGAGGCGAATACAAAGTGCGGCCACAGATCCTAGAGGTATAAACGGAAGAGAAGTCAAATCCCAATCGTAGCTGAGAGCAAGAACATTGCACAACAGACGAGACTTAGCCGCATCCAAATCAAAGTAATTTGATGGGGAAATCTGACCGGTGGGGGAGGGGTAAGTATCAGCCAACTTATGGAGGCTTTCGTCCGGGTCGGTCAAACACGTGAGGATTAGCTCAGGGGAACGCCAAATGGCCAAACGGAATACCTCGCATATCGCTTCACATTGTCGAAACGTTGCCCAACGATTAAATCTAAGCAAACGGAGAGCCTCAACAGGAACATCAACCGAATCCAGTTGAGGTGAACTAAGTTTCAGGAGATAGTGAAGGGCGCTATTAGCCCACTGGAGAGCGATCCCAGTGCTGCCCGAGAACATTGTGGATAATTCACTCGAACTGAATTCAGTCGAAAGGGGCTCATCAAACAAAATGGGTCGGACAATAGACGACAGTGATTGCCGTAGCGGCACACCAGTCTGCGTTGAGACACCAGAAGCAGAAGGATCGATTGCAGAAGCGACGCCCTCCAATATCCCTTGGAAAGTAGACCCCAAAGGTGTCTTTAAGAAATCGGATGGTAGACTAGTTATGTATGCAGGTATCTCTTTGCCAGTGAGATGCTTTATAAGATGAGCCGAAAACGTGTTACAGTTATGCTTCAGAAGTTCATAGGATCCGGGCTTAAATAACGACTCCGACAAGGTGTCAATATACTTTTTCAAATCCTCATCACTAAAACATGTTTTGCCCACTAGCTTGCGTTCCACTAACTGGGCGCCTTGAACTGACCCAGGGCGGCAACAACTTATTCCTCCTTGTGAAAAAAAATATTCGCGGTTGTAGACTACAACACTCGTGTGCCATATGCCATCGAATTGCTTGCCTACGAGTGTCTGTGACAGCAATTTCGACAGCCCCATTGACAGATCGTAAATAAACAGATACACGTCAGTCATACTAGAGTCCCATCCATATTATGCAATTCGCGCACATGCTTAACCTCATCAGATGAATTAAACACCGAAAACACTTAATGAGGACAATTAATTACATATTAAAACGAAAACATAAACTACAGTTATACCAGAATTAATTGATATGTTTCTATTGTTAATCCTTTTTATTACTTAGACCGTTTATGATCGAATATATACAGTAAAAATCAATGTCCATTTAACCATTAGAATATGATTCCTGATAGGATATGAAACCTTTGTAAAACTTTGCGAAATTGGTCACGTTTGTAAAGCTTTGTTTATGTGACTATCTGACGTTTGGCGGTCACTTTAGAACTTGTCTAGGTCCAGTAC